GCCATGCATTGTTGGCAATCTATGTGTTGTAATATGTGCGATGCGGTATATGCTGTGCACTATAGATAGGGCGATCTGTGGTACAGTCTATGTGAAGCAAGGTATGCGGTGAACTCGACCTCTTAAGACCGTCACGGTAAGTACCACATGGCATTTGGCAACGACACCGACGCCGACGACGACAGCGACATCGACGACGACAACACGACGCCGACGACGACTACGACGACACCGACGACGTCTCCGACGACTTCGACGACGACTTCGACGACGACGACAACGACGATGACGACGACGACGACGTCGACGACGACGACGACAACACCGACGACGACGACGCCGACGACGACGACGACGCCGACGCCGACGATGACGACGCCGACGACGACGATGACGACGACGACGCCGACGACGACGACGCCGACGACGACGACAGCGTCGCCAACGAAGACGACGACGAGGGAGGAGGGAGGACGACGACGGCGACAACGACGACAACGACGAGGGAGGAGGCAGGACGGCGACGGCGCGAACGACGAAGAAGGAGGGAGGACGGCGACGACGCGAACGACGAGAACGACGAGGGAGGAGGGAAGACGACGACGACGACGACGACGACGACGACGGCGACGAAATAGGAGGGACGACGACGAGACGCCGACCACGGACGACGACGACGACGACCACGAGGGAGGAGGAAGGACGACCACGGCGACAACGACGACGGAAACGATGACGACGCTAAAGAGGACGATGATGACGACAACGACGAGGAAAGACAGACGACGACGACGACGGTGACGACGACGACGACGACGAGGGAGGAGGGAGGACGGCGACGACGACGACGACGACGCAAGATCGCGCGCGCACGCTTTTATTGAAAATTCGTGTTGCGAAACCCTGTGTTCTTGTATGTTTCTGGGACACTCGATTTTGAAATCCTTCCGAAACCTAAGGTTTTTGAAGGATTTCGGCATGCGCGCGCGACGACGCGCGCGCGCGGGTGCATTTTGTTTTTTGGCAGAGGATTCTCGCGACGGCACGCGCGCAAAGGCGTTCGAACGATTTCGACATGCGCCTGGTTTTCTTAAGATTTCGCAGGAGCGCGCGCATAAGCTTTGTTATAAACAAAGAATATCCGTGTTGCGAGCCCTGTGCTTTTTGTATGTTTTTCGGAAACTCGATTTTGAAGCCCTTCTGAAACCTCCAGCCCCCCTGGGATAGTGTAAATTCAGACTTCGGATGAATGATGGGGCATAATCATATGTAAATTGCAATACGAAAAGGTGGATGGTTAAGTCCGGGGGGGGAGGGTGGTAGAACCTATTCTTTTTCCCTACCTAGGCTCTGCCTAGAAGGGTTCTTACTCGCTTGGCTTAAAGGGGCCAGGCAGTGCAAACTGCCCCGGGCGGTTCCCCCAGTCCCCTGGGAGCCAAGCAAATTCAACAGCAAAGGTATAAGCAAACGCGCGGTTCCCCCAGTTGCGCTCCCTGGGTGCCAAGCGAAACAAAAGCAAAGGCAAAAGTGAAGGCAAAAGCGAAGGCAAAGCAAAAGCATAGCATAACATAGCATAGCATAGCGCAGCATAGCATAGCGCAGCATAGCATAGCATAGCATAGCATAGCCTAGCCTAGCCTAGCCTAGCCCAGCATTGCATTGCGCAGCATAGCATAGCATAGCATAGCAGAGCATAGCAAAGCATAGCATAGCAGAGCATAGCGCAGCACAGCATCCACTAGAGGCTCCAACTCCTAGGTAGGGTCGCACTGTGATAATTTTGTTTCTAGAAATGAGAATCTACATGGTGCATCATATTTTGTGGATTATACGTGTTGCAACCTATATGACATGTTATATGTGGTGTGCAATATGTTGTATGCAATATGTGTGGTGCACCCCATGTTCTGCCACATGTTGCGTGCAATTAATGTTGTGCAATATATTGTGTGCCAACGGTCGTGCGCAATAATGTCTGTACGTGCGTGAAGCAAAGCAATGCAAAACGACACGACGCAAGGCAACGAAACGCAAAGCAAAGAGACGCAATGCAAAGCAGTGCACAGCAGTGCAAAGCAAGGCAACGCAACGCAATGCAGAGCAGTCCAGAGTAACGCACAGCAGCGCAATGCCAAGCAATGCCAAGCAACGCAAATCGAGACAAAGCGAGACAAAGCAATGCAACACAGTGCCAAGCAATGCAAAGCAACGCAAAGCAATGCAAAGCAAGGTCAATCATCGCAGGTACATTTGTATGTGGTGCAATCTAACGGCGGCGACGAGCGGCGACGGCGGCGACGGGGCGGCGACTGCGGCAACATAGCCGCCAGACCCAGGCCCAGACGATGGCTGGCGACGAGGCGGGGACGGGGCGGCGAGGGCGGCAACATAACCGCCAGATTGGCACGCAGGCCCAGTTCCTCACAGGAGAAGTAAGAACTCTTAAATGCAAGCACTGTTTGGGGAAAAGATCAATGATATTGGCCTCCTCGGTCCTACT